TGTGTCCCTTCTCTTTTTGTATTTTTTATTTTTGGTTGCATATTCAGAAGTTTTGGCCAAAATGCTTCTTTTGAATAATGCGTTGCAGCAGACGCTTGCTGCATCTTTGTGGCAATCTTTTTTCAGTTTAAAAAGCAGGTATTAGCAACTATTTTATGAATTCCACCTTCTAGCTCAAAATATTTGATGAAATTTCCAGAAAAAAATGTTGCCCACTGTCTAATATCAAGCTGAAAGGAGAAAAAAGTAAAGAACAACTTTATGTTACCGATTCATTTTCAAAATGATTAAAATCCAAAGAATTTTGTTTCTGTCTTCAACATCACTGGACGATATATATACATATATATACCACAGCCCACTGGAACTTAACTTTTTTTCCCAAAAAAAAAATAAAATTTTTAAAAAAATCCTATTTTCTTGTCGAAACCAGTCGGGAGATAATGAACGAAAGAAAAAATGACGGTTTACAGTGGATATCGGTAGTTGATTTTTCTACAGATAAATTTTTATTTATTCTAAAAAATTTCAACTTTTCACACCATTTACTTACGAAGAATTGTCCACTTTTTTTCCGGTTATCAATGCGTAATCTTTTCCTAATTTTGAGAAGAAAACTACAATTTTTTTTCGTTTGCATAAAAATTGTTTTACCTGATTAGTGTTAAGTACAGCTATGGATCAGATGTAAATATTTTACTCAAAATGTTCTTTGACTTCTGCATAATATTTGTTGTTTGATGAACAACACCTTTATTTTGTGGGTCTTATAACAGGAAGTGATTTGCAGACATTTATACTTATCTGATGCTTTAGTTTTAAATATTTTTTGAAGAAACTAAGCCATATGGATTGTCTTCAATTTGTTGCTTGATCAAACTGCAATACACATAAATGTAAATGATAACTGTTTTACGCATATTTGACTTTCCAAAAAAATCGTAAGAGAGAAAGTGTATTTCTTTAAAGGTTAGTAAGGAAAATAACTTTTGCCTCGTTTTTCATCACATGTTTAAATTGTGTAATAATAAGAGGAACGGAAGGACAACGGCGACTGGATGAAAGGGCAGATATGCGCTAATGCTCTTTCTTTTTTCTTTAAAAGTCTAGGCTTTAAAGTCCAAGTTTAAACTTAAAAAAGGTAATAAAAATTTAATATTTTTTCAAAATGTTATCGAGTTCAAATTACGTAAGATTTACCGGTAGGTCTAAGCTTATCGGACAAGCAAAAAAATAAATTTTATTTGCTCTTATTCTCGGCTCTCGCCGTAAATCTCATTTTCCACCCTCGCTTCACCACTTTATTCTCCACCCTCACCTTAAAAATGCCACCCTTATGACATGTGTTTTTTTCATGGCAAAAAAATTAGAAATTAAAGCTTTTAGTTAAAAATTTGCTGCTTAAATTCGTTATACATTTTATTTAGTGCCTATTATTTTAATGACAGCAACAACAACAACGAACTAAGCAAAAGAAAATAAATTTAAAACGAAGCATGACTTATGATTTGTTGTCTTCCTTTCCCATCTGTTGTTGTTTTTCCCCCTTGTCGTGTCCCTCTTCTCTTGCATTCCGTTTTCCCCAAGAAAATAAAAAAATAGAAAAGATTTTTGTTTATATATTTCTTAGATTTTTCTTCTTTCTTTAAAGAAACAGATCTCATACATCTATCGAAATACACACGAACATGCACAACATCAATGAATCTGTGTTAATGTTCACAAAATTTCTAGAAATTATCATTGTTTATGATCTTCAATTTGATTACACCGTAAAGTATGTGAACGAAGCAAAATTGTATGAGCACAAAAAAACAGCAAAAAAGGGTATGAAAAACTTAACAATAATTCATATTTCTTGCAGATTTTTTTTTGTGTCAGCAAATTTTGTTAGGTTGTATGGCTATATTGCAGTGGTAGTCGGAGAAAGCAACTAATAACTGTTGATTATATTTGTTTTTTTTTTCTTTTTTTTTTGTTGCATCTCTCAAAACTCTTTAAAAAACTCTTCAATGGTTTTTTAGTGCTACGAAATAAAAAGAAATCAACTGCTTTTTTTTTCTTGTTGTTTTTTTTTTTTTTCTAATTGTTTTTCCTGTCAATCATATTGCAAACAGCAACAACAATAACGATAAACAAAGAACAGATACCATATGTGGTGATGGTCTATAGACGTCATGTGATTAAATAGTCGTTGTCAGTAAGAAAATTCTAATAAAACTGAGTTGCAACAAATATATAGATATATATTTTCTATTTATTTGAATGATTTGTTCAATTTCTTTGCTGCTTATGCAAAAATCATCAAGCATAATCAACAGTGACAGGTAACTGTAATTGTTTTTAGTCAGCTAATAATACGGACACAGATTTTGACTTGTGATCGTAATCTGCTCTCTAAATTTGCCAAAACTCTGGCTTTCTTTTGCAGAAAAAATAACCTTCTCCTATGCGAAAACTACGTGTTAATTCTTACCGCTTGTCTTTTATGTCCACCTCAATTAGCAGACGAAAATGCAACAGCCTTCGTGAAAATAATTAGTAGCATTTTCGTGACCGATATGTTACTGCCCAAAAAAGCTATCTATTTCAATAAAAAAAAAAAAAAAAAAAAAAAAAAAAAAAAA